ATGATTTTTTTAAAAAAAAGGTTTTCATTTAAAACCGAATTTTTTTTTTTCGTTTTACATTTTATTGTTTTTTTTTTTTTTTTAAAGAAAAAAAGAAAAAAGTAATTTATTAATTCCGATATCGTGATAATAATAATAATAATAATAATAATAATAATAATGTATTAATCCGACGGATTAATATCATGATTAACTTATTTAATCCTAATCCGTTAAAAAGATAAAAATAAAATAAAATAATTTTTTTTTTTTTCAATGCATAAATCCGGGTTTAAATATTTTTTTTTTTTTTTTATTTTATTATTTAATATTCATTTTAATAATAATAATAATAATGATAATTTTTGAATTGAAACAAACAAACAAACAAACGAAAAATTTTATTATTATTATTGTTATTATTCGTATAGTATTAAAAAAAACCAAAACGAAATGAAAATTGTTGTGATCGTACCTTTGGGTATAATACAGGTAAAAAAATTTTTTTTTTTTTTAATTTTATTTGTTTATTCGCCGACGTTTCGTCACCACCCCCCCCCACCACCACCGTCGCCGCCGTCGCCGTCACCGTGACACTATAATAAAAAAAAAAATTAAATCAAAAACGATTTATTTAAATTATGTATTAAAAAAATCACAAGACGATAGAGACAAGGTTAATATTATAATTATTATTATCATTATTATTATTATTATTCTTAACATATTCTTACATATTAATGACCTTTAAGGTATTCTCTAGGTCAATACCAAAACAATTTATATTTATCTAAAAATCAATTAACAAAGTTTGTTGTTGTTGTTGTTGGTAAAACAAAAAAAAAGAAAAATAAATAAATAAATACGAATCGTTTCGAGATTTTTATTTATTTATTTTTCTTTATAATCATTTTAATCCCGTTTCTTCCAGAAAAAAAAAATAAAACGCTCTTGGACAAAATTTAATAATTCGACTGGAATTTTAAATTAAAAAAAAAAAAATCACTGACCCATAGACCTGATTTAATCTTTGACCTCGATTTATTGTCCCTCCTTGATTAATGTCAACATAAATTGCGAATCAATGGAAGGTTAAATAAATAAAAAAAATTTTTTTTTTGCAGCTATTCCATAATGCTATTAAACAATAACGATAATAATGATAATGATAATAATGATAATAATAAACAAAGAAAAAATTCTTTGCCAATTATTAAAACAAAAAAAAAAAGCATAATTAAAACGACGATTTGCTATAATTAATTTTCAACACGTTCGTGATGTTTAAATTTTTTTTTTTTTTTTTGCACATTTGGACGACGACGACGACGACGACGACGATGATGATAATAATAATGATAATATCGTACTCGTATTATTAATTCAATGAAAATTCATTTAAAATAAAAATAAAAAAAACGTCGCGAGATTTATCTCAATAAAAATCGATTAAAAATTATTTCCTGTTACTTGTACAATTTAATAATTATCATTATTATTATTATTATTACTGAAACTACACGTAAGGTACAGAGTTATTATTATTTTCACCTTCGTTTGCATAAGCAGGAAATTAAAAAAAAAAAAAAAATTGGTAATTGCCACAGTTTTACATAAAAAAAAAAAAAAATTTTTAAACCGTTTTCGGAGTTCCCACATCATAATTTTTAAAACGGGATCGTACACTAGTAAAATCAACTTTAATCAAGGATGAGGAAAAAATATAATTATGTTTAATTTTTTTTTTTTTTTGGATGTTAACGACCCTGAATCTGTAGGAAAACCCTGAGGTGAACGAGTTTTTCTTACTTTTTTTTTTAAAAATATTTCAAACATTTTTCTGTATTTTCCTTTTCGAATAAATCGTTTGATGACGTAATGATGACGTAATTTTTTTTATTATAAAAATACCGTTAAAATTATATTAAACAGCGTGAATAATTGTAAAATTTACTTGAAAGTTTGTAAACCGAATATGGCGTCGTTACAAAATTTTATTAATTGTTGTTATTGTTTTATTTAAGAGCCAAATTACGCGTTAAATTTGCGGTTAAACACGTAATTTGACCACGTGTTACTTATTAATTATTATTATTACTTAATTTTTTTTTTTTTCGTTGGACGAAATCGAATTAACGTAACACACACAATCGATTGTTTTTTTTTTTTTTTTTTGGAAAAACGGTTTGTAATTTTTTTCCCTTCTCTCTCCTCCCCCCTCCCCCTTTGTTTTCGTCCCATTTTTCCCCCAAACAAAAAAAAAAAATTTGATAATTATTACGTTGGTATTTCGATAATTTATTCACGGCATTATAATTATTATTACTAACCAAGGATTAAACCTGGAGAGAAAAAATAAAAATTACCGCCGTAATTTCCTCGTGTTTGTGAGAGAGAGAGATAGAAAATTTTTTTTTTTTGTAGGTTGTCGCCTTGTTTTATAAATATAAATCGTTATTGTTTTTCGTTTGTTGCATAAACTCACAATTTTATTAAAAATAAAATAATAATAAAAATTTAATTATACCACCCGATGAGTTAATAATAAAAAAAAAAATTACATCCAACAACAAACAACGTAATTAATAACGTTTCCGTCTTTTCTAGAAAAAAATAATGATGATGATGATGATAATGATAATAATGGGTAGTTTTCGCGGTTGAATATGAGGAAAAAAAAAAATTTAAATTTAAAAAAAATATCATAATAAAACAATTTAAATCGACAGAGAAAAAAAAAAAATTTAATTTTTTTGTTTTGGTTTGTTCGTTTGTTTGTTTGTTTGTTTGTTTTTTTTAATTACAGTCAGCGTTTTTTTTCTTCTTCTTCTTAAACAGGCACTCGTTTTGTTTACATAGAAAAATAATAATAATAATAATTGGTAATAAAATTGAGTCGATTGTTTTTTTTTTTTTTAATCGATTGACCCAGTAAAATAATGATCTATATATATATTTGTTTGTTTATTATTCGTACAAACAAAAACAATTTTCGTCTTGACCTACAAACGATGAATAGAGGTGGTAAATTTTTTTTTTTTACGACCGACAATGAAAAAATTTTTTTTTCGCATGAATGATTCATAATTAAATTAATTAAATCGTAAAATTGACGTTTTTTTTTCTTTATAGAATTTACACCGACGACGGGAGTTTTTATAAAAACAAGAGCGTGAGAAAAAATTTAAAATCGTGAGAAAATAAATAAAGTAAAGTTTTTGAATAAAAAAAAACAATATGATAGTAAACGGTACAATATTTCAAATATCAGAAATACAAAACAAACCGCCGCAATACGAACAATTATTAGCCGACGTATGGGTCGGCATAGTATTGACATTATTATTATTAAGTTGTGTTTGTTGCATGTGTTCGTGTTTGTTGTATCATAAATTTCAACAGTGGAAAAGATCAGGTACGTTATACCTATTTTCATCTTGTTTTTTTTTTTTTTTGTAATATTTGTTTAAAAAATATTTTCTCTCTTTCCAGCACTTAGAAGTAACGATGAACTTGACGTCACTTCATCAAGCGGAATGAACGTGGATTGCGAATCGTTACCTAGTTACACGATGGCATCAGGTTTACCAACATACGAAGAAGCCGTACAACAAATGGATAAAAAATCAGAAAAATCATCCGATAATAATTTATTTAAATCATCGGAACAGTGGCAAAATATAGAAAATAAAAATTCCTCAGTTTTTGATTATTTTCAAAGTTTAACAATGGAAAAAACATGAAACAAAAAAAAAAATTATAACCGAACGTATTTTTAAGACGATAAGATATCGATACACGTTCGAAAATCATCGGATCGAACGGGAAGATAAAAAACCGCGTTCGCGAGTGTTTGTTGCGTTGTTAAAACGTCTTCCAGTTTTTTTTTTTTTTTTATTTACTTCACACGATATTGACAACGTAAATAAATTTTTTTTAGATTTGACACGACATTTTGTTTGCCGTTAATATTAACGCGTTCTTTGTTGTGACGTCACACACGAAAATCATGGAAAATTCCAACAAAAAAAAAATTCTAGTCATTTAAAATATACGAGTGTACATATATATAAATAATTTTTTTTTCTTTTCCAGACTTTGAATGTGATATGAATTTAATTTTTTAATGTTAACCTTAGTTATAATATGCGGTAAAAAAAAAAAAAAAAAACGATACTGCCATTTGTATCTATTGACACTTTCATTTATGATTTTGTTTGCGTGTAAACGACGAATCAATAATAAAAATAAAATACTCGATTTAACTTTTAAATAATCAGTTATCATTATCATTATCATTATTATTATTTGTATTAGCGTCGTTTCAATTTACACGTTTTTAAACGACGGCGATAAATATTTTGTTTTTAAATAAAAAAAAAATTATATTCGTTCCTGTTTTAACCTTTTCCGCCATATTTAAATCGAACACGTAAGTATTTTAAATTACGTAATTTTTTTTACCGGAAAATATATCCTAACGGTTTTTTTCCGATTAAAATATAAACGATAACGGTTAAAATAGTTCGTCAGTTAAGATAATATAGTTTGATTAATCAGATTTTTTTTTTTTTTTTTATATTACTGTAATGGTGGTAATGCATAATCATTTACCCTCCTTTCCATTTCGATATTTTTTTTGAAAACTTTCATTTTTTAAAAATAATTATAATTAAAAAAAAAAATAAAAAAATTTAAGAGAGAAAATGGAAGAGAAAAAAGAAAAAAATAAATTTAAATTTTTTTTTTTTTAATAATCGACGAATCATCATCGATTGGTGGGGTTTTCTTTTTTTTTTTAAATTATTATCATTATTTTTACGGTAATTTCAATGAAAATTATTTTTTGCAAATGTATCGGAGTAATTTATTGTCATTTAAAAGTGTTTATTCATTTCTTGTAATGAAAAAAAAAAAAAAAAGAGTGAAAGTTTTTAAAAATCGACAACAAAAAAAAAAAACATCCGCCATTTTATTAAATTAAAATGATGATTACAAACGTAAAACTTATTTAACGTAACCGTTATTTATTTATTTATTTTAATATTATTAACGGAATGAAACGTTTGATTTTTTAAATAAACTTAACCGTCGTGAACTTCTCACCCCGGAAGTTTATTTTATTTTTTTTGAATTTTTAATAAATTTTTTAACGGTCAATTTTTAAATTATCTTTCGTCAACGGTCAATAATAATTTTTTAAATTAATTATAATTAATAATTAGTCACGCTAAAATTTCGTTTTATTTTAATTTTTTAAATATTATTACTAATACTATTATTATTATTTACATTTTTATTTAATTAAAAAAAAGAAAAAATTTTAAATCTATTTGACCGATTTACATAAATTTTAACGGTTTTTTTCCTTTGGTTGAACGCTCTTATTGCCACGTATAACTTATTGCCACTTTGACATAAATTAAAATTTTATTAATATAATATAAATAACGTTAATTATTATTATTTCGAATTGAAATTTCTGTAGTTTAGAATTTTCGTTCCGAAATTATTTTAAGAATAAAAAGAAGAAAAATACAAATTTAATTTTAAAAAAAGAAAAAAATGGCGCTAAATAATTTGAATTTATTTATTTGACACGTCTAAACTGTTGACACGATGCCTTGTTGCATATTTCATATAAGGACCTCTTGTTGTTAGATTTTTTTTTTTTATTTATATTTATATTTATATTTATTATTTATATAAAAATTTCGATGTCAATATTTAATATAATATTTAGTTAAAAATATTTTTTAATTTATTAAATGAAATGTTGAAAAAGGTAAAAAATTTTTTTTTATTAAATTCTTTTTGTTTTTATAACAGGTAAAGTTTAATAATCGTATAATGGCTGCTAAGTATTATTTATTATTTATAAAATAATTAAAAGTTTTTTTTTTTGTTTTAATGTGAAGTTGGTAAACTGTACATAATGTAAATTTTAATTGTAATAATATTTTAAAAACTTTAATTAAAATCTTTGTGAAATAATTTTAAAAATTTATGAGTGTTTTTTTTTTTACAGAAGTGGACAATATATTTATTATTTTTAATAATACCATCATGCTGTTGCTTTTACGTACCTGGAGTAGCCCCAGTAGAATTTAAAAATGGTTCTAGAATAGAAGTTAAAGCAGTTAAACTTACCAGTATGAAAACTCAATTACCTTATGAATATTATTCGCTTCCTTTTTGTTTACCAAAGAATGGAACTCTAGTTTATAAGTCTGAAAATTTAGGTGATTACTTTTTAATATTTTTTTTTAAATCTTTTAATAATTCGAATGTAAAACATGGTTACAAATTTATTTACAGGTGAGGTTTTAAGGGGAGATAGAATCACAAATACTCCATATGAAGTTTCAATGGGTGAAAACATCGAATGTAGACTTCTTTGCCATTCTCCTGGAAAACCGATGAATTGGAATGCGGATGAGTCTATGAATGTTATATCAAAGATAAAACATCAATATTATGTTCATTTGTATGTGTTTTTTTTTTTATTAATTGATTTCATTTAAAAAAAAAAACAAAACAAATAATCTTTTTTAAAAGAATAAATGTAATTTTTGCAGATTGGTGGACAATTTACCTGTGGCAACTAGGGTTGTCGACCCCAAAACATTAGAAGAAACTTTTAAATTAGGTTATAAACTTGGCGAATATTATTACAATAATGCATTTATTTACAATCATTTAAATATTATTTTGTATTATCATGCAAATTCTGATGGGTAAATATAAAATAAATTAAATATAAGTTAATAATCACATTCGATAATTTTAAATGTGCGGGGGTTTTTTTTTTTTTTAGTGAGCATTTTCGTGTGGTCGGATTTGAAGTTGAGCCTGTCAGTATAGATTTATTTGAATATACATTTAACAAAAATAAATGTTCTTTACCACAAAATGTAAAAATAAAACCACAGTCGGTTATGGCAAAAGGTACTGCATTATATTTTACATATTCTGTTAAATGGAAAAAATCTGATGTCGAATGGGCTTCCAGATGGGATATTTATTTAACAATGAAAGATGTAGATATCCATTGGTTTTCTATATTGAATTCTCTCGTAGTTGTTTGCTTTTTATCTGGTAAATCATTTTTGACATTATTATAATTAAAAAAAAAAAACAAAAATTTTTTTTTTGTCAATGTTAGAAAATTATTTATTTATTATTATTTTGTTTAGGAATTTTAACAATGATAATAATTAGAACTCTAAGAAAGGATATAGCTCGTTATAATGCTGATGACGGTCCTGACGAAGCTATCGAAGAAACAGGTTGGAAATTAGTACACGGTGATGTATTTAGACCCCCTAAATATCCAAGATTGTTTGCGGCGGTTGTAGGAACTGGAGTTCAAATATTCGTTATGTGTTTTATAACATTATGTGAGAAAATTAACGTGTATACGGTTGTTGTAAATGTGGCCATTGGGAAATTCCAATCACTTAATTATAAATTTTTGTTTTAGTTTTTGCCATGTTGGGTATGTTGTCACCTGCTTCCAGGGGAGCTTTAATGACCGCAGCCATTTCCTTGTACGTTTGCTTGGGAGTAGTTGCAGGATATTACTCTGCAAGAATTTACAAAACTTTAAAAGGACGTGACTGGAAACGTGCTGCATTTTTAGTGAGTGTAGAATTTAAATAAACATTTATTTTACAAAAGTCAACGAATCGAATTTTAAAACCTTTATTTTATTTTTAGACGGCGACATTGTATCCTAGTATAATTTTCGGAACGTGTTTTTTCCTTAATTTTTTCATTTGGGGAAAACATTCATCGGGTGCCGTTCCGTTCACAACAATGATCTCACTTTTGTGTCTTTGGTTCGGCATATCATTGCCATTAGTTTACGTTGGCAGTTATTTCGGCTACCGTAAAATTTCTTATCAGCATCCTGTTCGAACGAATCAAATTCCACGACAGGTTAAAAGTCCCTCGCGAAATCTCCAAAATATTTTTTATTACAAAATCGTATTGTTTAATAATAATTTATTTGTTATTACAGATACCTGATCAACCGTGGTACATGCATCCCGTGTTATCAACACTAATGGCAGGAATCCTTCCGTTCGGTGCCGTTTTTATAGAATTATTTTTCGTATTGACTGCCATATGGAAAAATCAATTTTATTATTTATTCGGATTTTTATTTTTGGTTACATTGATATTAGTTATTTCTTGCTCACAAATCTCAATCGTTATGACGTATTTTCAATTGTGCGGAGAAGTGAGTTGTAATTTTTCTCGTCGTTTTTTTTAATTTATTTAATTCCGCATTTTAAATAAATTTTAATTTTTCCATTTCAGGATTACCATTGGTGGTGGAGAAGTCTTTTCGTGTCGGGTAGTTCGGCTTTTTACGTTTTGGCATATTCTATATTTTATTTTTCAAACAATTTAGAAATAACGGAATTTATTCCCACTCTATTATATTACGGTTACACATTTCTAATGGTTTTAACATTTTGGCTTCTCACGGGTACGATTGGATTTTTCGCGGCTTATACTTTCATTAAAAAAATTTACAGCGCCGTTAAAATTGATTAAAAGAATTAAATGCAATCAATAAGAAAAAAAAAACAATTACAATCACGAAACTCGAGATTTTTTTTTTTTCTTTTTGTCATCAACGCGACTTATTTCGTTGATCGCGACAATAAATAAATAAATAAATAAATTTTTTAGAATCTCATAAATTTTTTCTTGTAAGAATAATGTAAACTCGGTAGGGAAAATATTAACTTTTAGATTTTTTACTTGAGAAAACAAAACAAAAAAAATGAATAAAAACATTTTTTAAAACCCCCCCAAAAAAAAAAAAATTAAAGGAGTTGGTTAATTATTATTTGAAACGACTACCATCATCGGCCATCTTTAAAAAAAGTGATATTTTATATATTAATTGTAAAATATTGATAATAAAGGCTAATTTAATAAATAATACTTATTAATTTATTATCCGATATATATATTAATGAGTAACGACATTTTATGTATCATGTACATGTTATTTTACACGCAAAAAAATTAATTAATAGGTAATTAAAAAATTTCACAAAATAAAAAAAAAAATAAGTAATAATTTAAATAATAAAATAATGTTGAACGAGTTTAAACTACTTGTCAGTAATATATAAATTATTATTATTATTATTAATATTTTACTGACATTTTTATATTTCTTTTTAAACAAGGAAATCTGCATTTGAACGTTTATTATTATTATTTTTTTTTTTTCTGCCGAGAATTAATCTATCTCACTTGGATAAAAAATTTATTTTCTACAATAATATATTGTTTAAAAATATTTTCAATATTGACATATTGAAAAAGTCTATTTACGTATAACAAAAATAATAATAATAATAATAATAATAATAATAATAACAAAAGAATATTTTTTTAAATAAAATTCCCGTTGTGAAATATTTTTTTTAAATTTAAAAATGTCTCGAACAGGAATAAAATAAAATGTTTAAACAGTTATTTTGATTGAATTCACATATGCATCCATTTTGTTTTAATTATTTAAAAAAAAAAAAAAAATTTTTTTTACATTGTGTTATTGAATGGAGTCCTCAACGGTTTTTTTAAAAAAATTTATTTATTTAATTTTCACTTTTTATTATTATTATTAACTCGGTATTAAAAATTTTATTTTATATTTTTTTGTTTTTACCGTTTAATAATTATTCCCCAATAATAAGACGTTTCAAAATCGTTTAAATCGAAAAAATTCTTTTATTTTAACTATATACATATAAAATTATTAATCTAACCGCCATTTTTATTTATAAATATTCGAAAATTAGAAAAAAAAATTTTTCTAAAGTTGGCAATATCAAACCATAGAGATTACATTAAATAATTGTATAAATTTGTTTTTTCCAAAGTTGGCAGATTGTATGTAGTTATAAAAAACGCCGATAGATCGCTCTCTTTTTACAGCAGTATAACGTAATTTTTCGAACGTGAAAAACTTCTTCGGTTTGAAAAATTTTGTTTTTTGTTTTTTATTCTACTTTTAAACGCGATCGGGCCGTTAAAAATTACTAAATGTTTTGTAAATTCGAAAATATTTACTTGTGATGTGTATAATTTATACATTTCGTTCACTTTTGTGTTTAATTAAACGCGACAAGTTTTGTTTTTTTGTTTGTTCGAAATGAAACGTTTAAAAAAAAACCGTTAATTTTTTTTTTAGTGCACGCTTCATCTTCATATTATAAAATCCAATTACATTTTTGTTTTTTACTTTTACTTTGCGACATCACATAGGGTAAGTTAAATAAATTATTTTCCTTAATAATAATAATAATATAAAAGTTTTATTCTTTTTAGTCTTTTAATTTTATTTAACAAATGAGAAAAAACAAAAAGAAAAAAAAAACGTTCAACAATTTAATCTTATTTTTTTGTATTTCGAATTTAAAAAATCAGATTATTTTCGGTATTTATTCATTCGTTTAATTAAAATATTAAATAACAAAGACTCGTTTTTTATTCAATGGGGTATATTAATATTAATAATCAATTTTTAATTTAAATATAATAAAACCCTCACAAAAAAAAAACCACCTAAAGCGATTGAGAATAAAATGAATTATTATTATTATTATTAATTTTATTACTTAACGGACTTTTTTCTACATAAATTTCCAAGCATTTAATAATAAATTTTTTTGTTTTTTTAAGTCGTTAACACGTTCTTACTAAGACTTATTATTATTAATATCGTTAATAGAAAACAAAAATTAATATTAACCGACAACGCATATAAATTATTAAAATAGGTTCTGTAATAAATAAATAACGTAATTTAGTGAAATTAATTTTGAAAAAAAAAAAAAAAAAACATAAAATAAGTCAAATTTGTTAAACTTTTTTCCGTTGATTTTAAAATTAACCGTTTTTAACGGAAAATGATAAAAAAAAAACATGGCGAAATATTATTTATTTATTTATTTATAATTGTTTTTCGTTATTGCGTATTTTATAATTAAAAAATTTTTCACCCCAATTTATTTAATTGTTATTATAAAAAAAAAAAAATTTTAAGGTAAAAATTAAAATTATTTTATTGGACGAATGAATTTTGTTATAACGGAGGCTGCGCCATATTTTAATTCTATTCGTCAGTTAGTGAAAGACCGTTACAAAGTTCGTCACGATAATGTTATAATTATAAAGAAAGTATTCGTGATTATTTACACGACTTCCGGAAAACGTCGGGAAATTTTTTTTATTTTCGACTCGTGATTTATTATTATTATTATTAAACGATTTTAATTAATTAAAAAAAATTTTCGTGTTTTATTTCGGAAGATAATAATAATAAAAATTATGATTTCACATTGAAGGAAAAAATGTAAGAAAAAATTTTCCCTCCCATTTTTTTATTAAGATTTATAAGGGCGTATTTTTTTTTCACTGCATAATAATTTCGTTAATTTTATTTAAAAAAGCAAAAAATTTTTTTTTTCGTTTCAAAAAATAAAAAATACGATTTCGAGAATTTCGAGAAATACCGTTTTTTTTTTTTATAAGAAATATGAAAATTTTTTTTTTTTTGGTTTTTTGCTCTTTTTTCATTCGGAAAAACCCAAAAAATTACACATAGGATTATTCAGGCATTTCCTTCAGGCAACGAAAAAAAAAAAAAAAAAGAAAATTGTCAAAAAAAAGAAAAACCGTTAAATTTGAATTAAATTTTCGTTTTTTTTTTTTTTTTTCGTTTTACAAAAATAAAACCCGATAAGTAAATTCAAAAAGTAATTTTGTCGTTGTCTTTGAGGGAAGGCGAGGGGAGGGGAGGATGGGGATGATAAATTAGGGATGATATTTTAAAAAATTTGCGACGTAATTTTTATAAATTTCATTCGTGAAACGGTCCGGAAAATTATTATTACTTTTTTTTTTTTTTTAATTTCACGAAAGTTTTCTTTTTTTTTTTTTTCTATTTCCTGTCTGTCTCTCTCAAAGAAAAATACCAATTGACGAAAAAAAAAAAACGAATTGAATAAAAAAAAAGGAATTAGTAAAACGTTTCAAAAACTAAAATCGAATTTTCACAATTAATTTATTTTACAAAAAAAAAAAAAATTTGTGTCAATTATTACTCGGTAATAAAATTATCTCGTTTATAGAAATGAGATTAATTTAATTATTAACGTATTACTTATTTTTAATAAGTAATTATTAACAACAATACATTATTTATTTTAATTAATAATAATAAAGGACGAAAAATGAATTAGGAAAGTAATTTAAAAAAAAAAAAATATAATTAATCATAATACGCATATATATATATATATATATATATATATATATATATATAAATTTTTTGTTTTATCAAGTTGGTAATCGTGTCCGCTAATCTATTAATTATCAAAGTTTTTATTTATTTTTTTTTCCACAGAGGGAATATTAATTAAAAAATATAATTAATTTGTGTCTCTCTCTCTCTCTCCCTGTATATTATTTTAGTATCGTATGTGAAACATTTGCTTTTTTCATTTAAAAAAAAAAATCGTTTTCCAAAAGAATAAT